CGTTACAGAATACATTTTGGGGCATGTATTCTGTATTCTGTAATGGAATACATTTTAAAAGTAACCTTCCCAACACTGGATTTAAATTAGGTAAATTCCAATAGATTGTGTAAAATATATATTTATATACAATCATAGGTTCACTCCCTACAGAGATCCTGATAACATGCCACCCCTGATTCTAATAAGTATTTCAAAGTGGGATAAATGTTGAGTTAGATGCTTTAAAACTGAGTACAGTAACTAAATTTGTGTAATTTATCTGTAAGCACAGAATCGAGTGTTTTCATAGTTTGATATGCCAAAAAGCATATATCCATACATATATCCTGAAGACAATTAGGCCTGGGCTAGATCATATTCTTGAGCAGTGAGTTCTTTATGGCTTTGATCAAATCCACCATTATATGTGTGGGTGGATGAACCTTTAACCTGTGTACCTTCAGCTTTTCTCCCCTGTGTGAGCGTGCTCTCTCTGCCTCAGCGTGGCTGCAGTGTTGATGCTCTCCCAGCACAACAAACCTTTGCTCTAGTCCTCCTGTGCTAGTCCACGCACGCACGTGACGTCGTACGTCGCCCCACCCACCCAGTAAACCACCTTGCGTATGGAAGTATGGCGGCCCCAGCTACAGAACTACTACTCGGCCAAAGTTTACTGCTGCGATTTTCACGTGAAAGCTATGAATAAGTACGAGAGCCAGGGGTTCGGTAACGAAGAGCTCGGCAACTGTGAACAGAGGAAAGGACTTGTAAAAAGAGTCGTCGCTCTCTGCCCGGCTGAGTTGCCTCGATTTGCCTTGATTGAAGTGCCTTTTAGTCCGGGTACCGCAGGGAAAGAAACTCCGCAAGACGAGAAAAGTGGACACGGAAGTTTGAAACCAACTGTGGCTTTGGAAAGACCAGCTGCAAAGTGTTGAAAGGGTGGCGGTCAAATCATGTTTTTGTGAGACGTTTAAGTGCACTTGTCGGCGGTTTCCCTACCAGCGAGCCAGCGACAGCCAACTGTTGCCTGCTTGGTGTGCATTTAAGGGTCTGGCGCTGCATACCACCAGCAGACGTTGGTTAGCTTTCATGGCTATCTCCAACATTAGCTTAAGGTCGCCAGCTAACAAATCATATATATGTTTCTGTGACTGTGTAAGTTTCTGTAAACACTTGTTTTTACTCCCCACGGCGTTCGTAACTAGAGCAAAAGTTTGCTTTATCTGGCACATTTACTTCAGTGCCTGTTACTGATGATTAAATGATCTTTTTTTTCATTTATATATTTTTTTAACTTTGGTATTCCAATAAAATAAGGGCAGTATTGTTATGGCTATCAATACTTGCTACTTTTCTTGCTTTTTCTCTCCGTGACTAGTTTTTAAATCTAACACTTGGCAGTTTTTTTGCATATCTATAATAGAATAAAATAGAATAGCCCTTTATTGTCATTGTACAACTAAATTGTGTGTCCTCCACACCAAATGTGCGGAATAAAATGCGAATGGTAGATAGCAGGAATAAATATGAGTGTAGTTTAACCTAGATTAGGGGTTTTAGTATCTATCTTTTTTATTTAAAGAGCCTTGAGGCAACTGATATTGTGCTATATAGATAAAACTGAATTGAATAGACCGGCATTAAAAATAGAAAATTTAGCTGACGTTTAGGTTATATGCAACAGGGAAAAACTAATTTGTATAGAAAAGGAAACACCTGACATCACAATTAAAGTGGAACACAATAAAACTAAATGAGCAGTTAAGATTAGCTTGTGGTTTGCTATTTGGCACATAAACTACCAGTCAAATTAGTTCTTGTTTTATTTTGACTTTAGGGTCATATATCTTTGTGTTAAATGAAATCATCACTGAATCTTGTTTTATTTGTCTCTAGATCGCTGTGAAATGTCCCTTAAAGCACTCACACTCCATTAATGCATGATAAACAGAGACATACTGGAGCATCACTGATTTGTGCTGGTGACCTCCATCACCTAAATTCTGGGAGGGGAGTGCCCGAGCCAGGGGAACGGATTCTTTTCTTTTCCCAATCTCCTCTTTTTCTGGTGGGCAACTGAGTCCAGCTTGGAGAGTCCCGGCTGCGGCCTGGCACCCTGCCCTTATGGGGCAGCAGCCGGGGAAGCTTGTAGGGGACCAGAGGAGACCCAGTTTGCCGGCCTTCATCAAGGGCTCGAAGAAGGAATCATCACGCCATGGGAACCAGCCTTGTAATGTTTTTGCTGTGCACGGTAAGATCAAATGTTTTTGTCACTTATTATGTTGACAGCAAATGGATTTCCTAAAGTATAATAAATTTGCTCAGTAGGGGAAATTCTTGATTTTTGAAGTGTGCATGTGTGCATTTTGAAGCTTTTTTTTAAATTTTTATTTAATATCTTGTGTGGGCATTGGCCTGAAATCAAGCACAAAAAAATTCCTTGTTATTTTTGACTCTGCCTGTGACAAACTTTTTTTTTTCAGCAAAATAAACCCCACAGTGAAAATGCACTTACTGGAGCAACCACTGTACATATTAGCCAAAGCTAAACATCGATTATGATCTGACTAATTAATCAATGAAGATAAAATAAATTGCTGTCCAGCTGCTATATTTATGTTCTTTTGAAATTTTACACACTTTGTGCACAAAGCAGTATATTTTTAAAGCTCATTTTTAAGAAAAATGATGACATGTAGCTTGTATTTGATGGAAATCTATCAGTAAACATTACCAAAGTAACTGTTTTTACCAGGAGATGAGTTTACACTTGACCCTTTACAAGATGTAACTTAGTTTATTAAATGTGTGTTTATTATAATAATATTGACCTCCACAGATGGAAGCAATGCTATAATGTAATGTCATAAAAGTTTTTTGAGCTTCTTGGGCACAGAAATGCCTTTACACCTTCAACACAGTCTTTAAAATATTTTTAGCAAATGTGTGCAGTATGCTGAGGGTTTTTCTGACTTTACACTGTCAGACACACGAGATAAACTTTGAGTGACTGCTCATTGTCAACATGTCAAATCTTAACATGAGTGATGAGTCCAGGAATGTTTGGTAGTTTGGTTTAAAAATAGACTTCAATGATTAATGGACTATCAGAATAGTTGCATTGTTGCTCCACACCTTTGGGAGCCATGTTTGCCTCTGGGTAAGACTGGCATACTGTTGGTGCAGAGCTTCACCACGTATGAGAGAGAAGTCTTACCTGGGTGTGTGTTGTCTTTGTGTTTGGTGGGAAGTGTATCGTTTATGTCCATTTAAAGCCGTCTGATTTTGTTTCTGTTTTTCTGCTGGTTTGAGTTTCAGCAGATTTCCATAGTTTTAAACATTGCTCATGAAACACTGTCATGACTTAATGTATTACTTTGCCTCATGTTTATGTCATTGCTAGCTCATTATTTTCCAGTTTGACTAGTATAATCAAAGACAAATTTTTAATTTGCCCCTGTAAACTTTTTTAATTGGTCTTAAATTTTCCGCAGTGAGGGGTTCAGATCAAACAGGAAGTAAATTATTACTGCATTAAGCATTTCTGTCTAAAGACCAGACATGCACTGATTGTGAAATTCATGGGTAATATCAGTGTTTAGAATATGGCTGAGAGTGTCGATTCTGATGGGGGTTTTTGTGTGTTATGTTTCCTGTTTTTACAAAACCTACAGAGGTATAAATGTTTTTGAAACCTTTCAGCTCTGCACATGTTCTTTTAACATTTATACACCAGTGCAAAGTTATTAATCACTGGC